GGACCTAAAAGATCGAATGGAACAATATATAGACAAGTAAATCCCTATATATCAAGTTGTATTTTCTTATGTCATTAGGAAAACAAAATTTGGAGATTCAAATCCAAGAATCATTCATGCATTCTAAGTCAATAGTTAATGGTTCCGATAAATTTAATATTCATTATAATACAGATAGCTAGACTAAAGTCTTCAAAACATAAACTACACCGGAGCTACGCCAAAAGAATTCTAAAACTAAAAGCTATCTTGAAAAAGATAAATTGAAGAATGCTAAAAAATCAAGAAGAAAATAAAGCATAAAGAAAAAAAAATACAAGCATGGAAGTATGGTAAGAATTGGTGGACAAAACTCTTTGCTTTGTAATTTACACTTTTCATACAAAGATCTAAAGCACGTATATTATTCTGTAATCAACAAAGAGAAATATAGCTTATGAAATTAAAATAAACAATTAGAAAAAGCTTTTTGACTTTTTGAGATTTTTCAGTTTGAGAATTTACTTTTTGATATTTAACTTTTCAAAAAAGATTTATAAAGCAATTTTGTTTTAAATTTGGAAAGGTTTTCGAGGCTTACGTCCCAAATGAACACCCAGAATGTTGAGGCTGACGCCCAGGCGAACGCCCGAAAGATTGAGTCTTACGTTTCACGATATTTACGCCTCAGGGTGTTTTTGGCCTCTTCGCCCCGGAGTTCACCCGAAAAATGTCTTTATAAACACTGGGTACTTGCATATATATTTCAAACTCTTATTTTCCCTCATAATGTTGTGGTTCAAATGGTAAATTTTTTTATATTTGGTTCTCAGAAACTAAAGAATTCGCGTACGACAAATATTACAATTCTTAATTTGAAAAAGAAAATGCATGTCATTTAGTATTACTAAATTTAATTATAATAAATTAAGAGAAAAATAATAAATAGGTTCTTTATATTTTAAACTCTTAATGATCTCCGTAATATTGTAGTTTAGATTGTAACTTTTTCATAGTTAGGTTGTCCGAAACTACAGTATTTATATATTACAATACAAAACATGAAAAAGGGATTGTTATTGTGACCACAATAGATTGATGAGATGTAAAATCAAAATGTATTATTATTATTATTATTGTTATTATTATTATTATTATTTATTATTATTATTATTATTATTATTATTATTATTATTATTATTATTTTCTAAAGTTTGATAAGATAATGATTGAATACGTTTAACATTAAAAGAGAAAAAAGAAGCTAATGTCGAAATAATATCATTATAACATTGTAGGCATACAAATTTTACTAAAATTAAATCCACAAAAGAATTTGGATTATATTTTAAAATTCAAGATATATTGGTCAAAATAAATATTATGGGTTAATATAATTGAATTAATTATATAAGTCCAACATATATGGGTTAAATAAATAAGTCTTAATCCATTGGGCTAGCCCATTTAATTGGGCTAAAGTGATGAGCCCACTTCATTAAGCCCAAGATGTCATCTTCCTAGAGGCCCAGTTTGGTGCCACGTGTCAAATGACGTGGCGCGCCAAGTCAAACGGAAGAGCCAATAGGATCATGCCACGTGTCAAAATGACAAGGCATGCCCAGTCACACTAAAAGGCCAATGAAATCGCGCCACGTGTGCAAGTGACATGTTCTGGCCAATCAAATGCGGCCATGTCACACTTCAATTTAATTGGTCGGAAAGAGTTTGTTCTTATCATGACTCCTCCCTTCCACAACTATAAATAGGGGTCTTCATAACTCAGAAAAGACACCAGAAGTTATAACAAGAAGCAAGAGAGAGCTCGTGGATCAAACGCCGCAATTTTCTCTACAAGTTTCAAGCTTCAAGCAATCAAGTTCAAGTTCAAGAAATCAAGTTCAAGCTCAAGAACGAAGAAGAAATCAAGTTCAAGTTCAAGAACGAAGAACAAATCAAGGTCAAGTTCAAGCAATCAAGCTCAAGCTCAAGAACAAGATCATCGTTCGTGGAAGCAAATATAGATTCAAGATCAAGCTCAAAGGCCCTTGTAAATTTATTTTACAGTTGAAAAAGAAGAATCAGAGGATTCATAGAGATTGTAACACTCAAATATTCGAAATCAAATACTACGATTGTTGCAATATTTTTCGGTCTTGATTTTATTTTCTCGACTCAAATTTATTGTACCACAAACATATCTGAATTATTTCATCGTAAAGTACTAATACGTAATTTCAACGCTACAAGCAATCAAGTTCAAGTTCAAGAAATAAGATTCAAGCTCAAGAACGAAGAACGAATCAAGATCAAGTTCAAGCAATCAAGCTCAAGCTCAAGCTCAAGAACAAGATCATCGTTCGTGGAAGCAAATATAGATTCAAGATCAAGCTCAAAGGCCCTTGAATTTATTTACTGTTGAAAAGAAGAATCAGAGGATTCATAGAGATTGTAACACTCAAATATTCGAAATCAAATACTACGATTGTTGCAATATTTTTCGGTCTTGATTTTATTTTCTCGACTCAAATTTATTGTCCACAAACATATTCTGAATTAATTATCAAACAAGATATTTTAATTTAATTATTTAGTTAATTTTCATGAAAAATGATCATTGACGTGTTATATGGATAAGTTAATGTATTTAAGCAATTTTAAATTTTAAGATATAAGTATAATCATATGATAGTTAATTTATGGGGAGAATTGGCGCTGAAATTTTTGAAAAATGAAAGATGATAAACTTATCCTTTGTTTTTGTGATGTCGGAGTCTCAATTTAAAAAGGTATTACACAAACAATCTTATGCAATTCACAAGAGTCATCGATTTTTATTGCACTTTCAAGAGGTATATCATTTATAATAACAAAAGTTTTGATCATAAAAGAGCAACTAAAACCGATGAAAAAAATATATATCACGAATATCATTTAAGAAATATTATGTGAGATACACCTTTATTATATATTTTTATCACATTAAAGTAAAATAAATAAAAAAGCACATGCATCTAATTGAAGTTTAGTTGTTCATCTTATAAATTTAGAGATATCCAATTATCTTAACCTCGACAAGCAAGTTATCACGACGATCTACATTGATAACTCACATAAACTTAAACTTTATCCTTTCATGTGTAATTATTTATTTAAAGCTTAATTTTAACAATATTGATATTATTTTACAAAATGATATAGTACATAACTAGGTATACACGTACAACGCACGTGCCGGAAAACTAGTTATTATAAAAGTGGGAACCCCTCAACCTAAAAGTTGAATTACCATAATACCCTTCTTAAAAATTTAACTAATCTAAATAAAATTCTAAACAAAACCAAGCCAACGCTTCATTTTTTTTTTTTTTTTGTTAATAGTTACAACTGTTCCTTTTTGTTTTTCATTAACAAAATGAAAATGAAAAATTAAAGCTACAACCCGTATTTAATTAACTTTTTATAATAAAAAGGGACCTACACTTGAGCAAAGGAAAACAAAAGAGCCTAGACACTAAAAGAAAACCTTTTCAAAGAGTCGCAAACCATCAGATCATGTGTTTGAAGAGTTACATAATTTTTTTCGTTCTCTTTAAACAATCAAATCTTTGGCGATTTTTCCTTCCTCTTGATCTTCTCCGTTAATCTTCAAGTTTGACCTTTTAGTTTTTTTTTTTTGACCTCTTACTACTTCACTAATATACCCATCTTGTTTCATCAGCCATTTCTTCTCTTCTACTTTATGTCATAGTGTCTGCCTGCAACTAATCCGTCTATCTATCCTTCTCGCTAAATCCTCGGCAAGATCTCTGCAAAATCGACTTGTAAGTTCAGTGCTTCTGAAACTGAGATATGTAATATGAAATTTTTATAATTTGGAGATGATTAAAGTTTAAATTTTGCCAGGGTTTCGTTTTCTCTCTTCGTATGTTTGAGTTCACGAAGATTAAAAAAAAGATTATCTCAATGATCATCAACTAATACATACACTAATTATATATACCTAACAGTTTTGTGAGTACTTCTCTACGCTTTTAGTTTGTTGTATTCCTAAAGTTACATTAATATAGGTAGTATACTTCTTACAAGTTGGACTAATACATTTTATCTACATCTGAATCATTTCTGGAAAGCAAAGGAATAAAGCAATTTTAAAGTCCATCATTTTGATAAATATATTAATTCCTTCTAACACTTTCCTCTAAGTCCCACTTTAATTTGATTTCACTTCTTTTATGTTTCTTTTTTGGTATGTTACCTTTGTCTAAGCCCCATTTAGTAATTGGGGATGAGAAATGATAGTTCCTTGGTGTGATAAGGCTGATTTGAAGAAAGAATCATGGTCATCGAAGATTTCAAGTTCTAACTTTTTTTTTTTTTTAAAATAAAAAGCCTACAATTTTTAATATTTGATTACTTAATTTTCATTAACTAGATTAAAAATGATGCATTATGCAATTCAATCTTTCATATCCAGCGATGAGATTTAATCACTCTAACAATTATCGATATGTAAACAAATATTACTTGTAGGTGTATACAATGAAGCTAAAATTTTAGTGCATGCCATGAACATTAGAATAGAAAAGGCGAGGCTTGAATTTTATATAAAAGAGTAATCAACATTAAGAAGACAATTATACCAAAGCACAGATGATATTGTCATAGTTGAAGAATATGGAGAAGATAAAGTTGATCAAAGAATGTTGCTTATAGCGTCATCTATATTGGAGCAATATACCAAAATTTAATTGATATATATATTTGCTAGAAGAATAAAGATACTCTGTCGGAGAGTATGCCTTTTGACTTTACTCATAAAAGCTCTCATGTTACGTGAGAATGCTAGATGTTAGTATAGTTAAATTAGTAATTTATAACTAAATTAAATATTATTGGGATATGCATGCATTAACTAAATATGTATATATATGTTATGTAAAAGAATAATAGGAAATACACGTGACTAGTTAATTAAAATATATGGAGTAGTATTAATTATTTTAATTACATCTTTTAATGGAACAAATATCGTCCAAACGCATCGTGGAACAGAAGTTTCGTGTGGTCATAGTCGGTAACAGTGGCCGTCAGTGAAAGTCAAGAACCAAAAATATAAGGAAAGAAGAGTCACCGGCGAAGATTCCCGATTCACCCCAGTTGGATTTGATCCTGAATCAGCCTTCTCCTTCCATTCTATCTTCCAGTTGATGGACAAAGCAAAAGCCCCTGAAGTCATCGGCGTTAAGGATTCTGTGCCGAACCTTTACTCCAATCCTAATTCAGAAGCTAAATATTACAGCCTCTCGTTTCAGGCATCGGGTATGTTTCTCCGTTGTGAATTGTGATGGGCTTGTGAAATGTGATGAGTTATTTATCGAGTAGGGTTTGTTTTGTTACACAGTATTAGCTATTAAGAAGAGAAAGCCTCCCAGCTTGGTGAGCTTGTGTCTTGGAGTTATTGGCAGACATTTTGAGGATATTATCGAAGATCTCACCGAGATAGCTGCTAATTTTCCGTCCAATATGAAGGTTCAACATTCTTATGCGCTGTTTTATACATAATTTCTAAAGATGTGTCCTTTGGTAGGCGTAATACTGCTAGTTTTTAATTGGCAATCATTTAACCCGACAACTTCTGCTTTTTAAATCAAGGAGCCTTTCATGCTTCAATTAACCATATGTTCTTTTTACATTCCCTTAAGATGATCAGGTTTTCAATCCATAAAATGGCAAATCACGAATTTCCTATATCCTAGTAGAGCAAGCTCAAATTTTGGCAAGTTTGTTACTCCACCATATTAAGGATGAACTTAATAGTGAATCAGTGTTTCCCTGGAATTTTTCTTCCAACTTTTGACAAAAAGACTGCTCCTTGGCTATTAGAGAATACATTTGGGTTTCTTCCTTCTTTTGTTTCCTTTGGTAATTGGGGGTGTTTTGTTTTTTTAGGGGGGTGGGAGGCGACTGAAAAAGAAAAATAAAACTGTCAATCCATGCTATCTTTTTTTTGAGAAGGTAACAAGTTTTGTATTTATATTGACTGCATTAAGGGAAAGAGGCACCCAAATTTACAAAAGTGGTATAGGAAGATGCAGATTCCCTACTGTACTATAAGGTTCCTAAAACTTCAATGAACTCTGGATCTTCCAAATACTCTTGTTTACACCAAAAGCGGAAAAGGACTAAACATATTTCTGGATAGTGCTTCTTCTGTCTTCAAAACATCTTTGGTTTCTCTCTAACCAAACTGTCTACCAAATGCAAGGTGGGACAATCTTCCATCTCTATTTTTGATTGGGGGAAGTACCATGTTTGCTCCAGCATCTTAGAACATCCAGTATACCCCTAGGCATTACCCACATGATCCCTTTCAGATTAATGAAAATCCTCCATATTTGCTCTGTAATCCTACAGTGTAAAAAAAGATGGTTGATTGTCTCAGTTTCGTCGCCACATAGGTAGCATCTGGCGCATAGTTGAAAGCCCCTCCTGATGAGATTGTCCCGAGTCAAAAAGTGATTTTTTAGCCAACAGCCAAGTAAAGCAGGCAACTTTAAATGGAATTTTGACTTTCCAAATTAGCTTCCATGGCCAGGAACCAATCTGGTTGGCTAGGTTGAATTCCTTGTATGCTGATTTGACTGTGAAGTTCCCTTGCTCGTTCCCTTGCCATAAGATACAATCTTCAGAGAATGTTGTCTCCTTGAACTGATTCAATGTGTTGTAGAATTCTGTTATGCTTGCAATTTTCCCAGTCGTTAAGTAGTCTTCTGTACCTGAGGTTCCAACCTTGAGTTGACCATATCTCTCCAACAGTAGCTCCTTGTTGTAGGTTCAAGTTGTAGATGTCAGGGTATAGCTCCTTTAGTATGTTTTGGCCAAGCCAGTTGTCTTCCCATGCTATCTTGCAAACTATTTAGTCTATTTAATGACGTTACTTTAATATGCTGATTTGTGTCCTAGCTATTTATCTCGACTCTAATTTTTTCTTGTTACTTGAACAATCTGTTCTAATTGTTAGATGGCCCTTGTGGCAATTGCAAGGAGGAGAAGGTTATTGAATGACAATGTTATTGTTGCATTGGCTGATAGCTCCTGGGAAATCCTTGACTTGTCTGGCTCAGAGGTTTCTGATATTGGCCTATTACAAGTGGTTGAAACATGCAAACATCTGCAAGCAGTTGATATAAGGTATTGCTTTTTTGATCATTTCATTACTTGAGGGTTTCTTTGTTTTTAAAAACAACATGCAAGTGGATAAGGGATTTTCTGGTTTGACTTCCTTACTGGACATGCATGGTGCACCAACTATGGCTTTCTACATGACATCTCTCATTTCCACTGAGGCACACTAAATGTATTGTCCTATGTCAAAAATCTGCAATCAGTAAGAAGCAGGGCTCTCAACTACTAGTAAATTAAGTCAACTAGTGTACTGATTGTATGGCTCAGAAATCAGGTAATGAGGCGTTAACTCCCATAAATTTAGTTATGAGGCGTTAACTCCCATTTTCTACTCTTCTTGCTTTCTCTAGCTAGTTCATGATCTTGTACTCATGTGAACAATTTTATTCTAAGTACTGTTTCTGAATTTCATTTTTCTTTAAAGTTGCATTACACACTTTGTGCAGGCTACACTATCACCTATTTCAGTCCTTTTTCTGCTGCTCAACTTAAATTTGGTTTTGAAATGTAAAGCTAAATGTGAACATCCATTGTCACAGTCGCTGCAGCAAGCTCACGTCAGCTGGTGTATCAGAACTCTTGCTGAAATGCCAGTCTCTTGAAATACTGAGATGGGGGTAGGTTCCCGTTCTTAATAAGTCACTTCTTTCAGGCATGAAGCTTAAAAAAATTTTATGCAACAATTACAAGATCCAGTTTCTTGAATTTCTCCTAAGCTAGCATTTCAGAAATGATTTTCTGGTTAACCTATTGTCCATTTGGTTTTCTTATAACTGTTGCTTAGAACCTGTGGACCTTTCCATGTTAAGTTTTGGTTTAGTTACCAGTGAGTACATTCGGTATTAAGATTCTTCTCAAATATGTGCACGGTAAGCATTTGTTGGCTATGTTTTAGATATTTGAGCTGGCCTTAAGGTGCTCAAATTTGATGCTTTGGTTTTGCTTGTGTAACCCAATTCTTGTTGTCTTCAATATATTCATGTTTGAAGCAGTGCGTGCATGTGTAGAAGGCATAGAGGAGGCTAGACAAGCAAATGGCGAAAAGCTGTGTTAATTGATTCTAGATCCAATATGTTTTGTCTCATTTTGATTCTGCACATTACTTGCTATGAAAAATCTTATAGTTTTGATCATGTTTCTTCGACAGGATGCTTAGCGCATATATATAGTCTTGCATGATTGTTATCCTTTACGTAGTTTGTGCGAGGTTCTTGGTATTGTCTGTCCTTAGGAATATAATGGTCAAACATTTGGGGTTTGGCATTTCATCCTTGCTTTTGCTTCTTGTCATTAATTATGAGCTTTCTTTTTCAAGTGGATATATTCTGGGGGTAAGGACTTCTATGTTTTAATGCATGCATCATATATATAAATTATGCAATTTAACATTATCTTGAATAGTCGCTTGCCATGCTTTTCTTGTGTTGGCTTTAACTTCTCATCACTTTCATGTAACCACATAATATAATGACGCATCCTACATGATAAGCCTGGCATGCTTAAACACATGGTTGTTGTCCTGTTATAAGGAAGTTTCGGCTTATTGACTAGATCTGTTTGGATTCCTAAGGATTTTTCTTGTGAATCCTCTAGTTTCCCTGTGGGCCTGCCTTCTGCGAAGCTAGCCAAAAGACATTCTAACGGAGAATACGAAAAAGGAAAAAGATAGAAGAAATGACATTGCATGTTTCAACTATTTACGCCATATCATTTGAAGTGTTTCTACGAAAGAAATCCCTTGTAAAAAATCTTGGTTCATCATATATCTTGCTTGATAAAATATATTTCAAAGATCTTTTTTCTTCTCTCTCTCTCTGAGTAGGTAAAGAAAATGTAAAAATTAACCACATAACTGGAATGAATCAGAGTTACTGTTGCAGAGGCTGCCCTCGGAGTGAGAACACAGCTCGTAGATGCTTCGCTTTGTTGAAACCAACACTAGAGCATGTGGAAGGAGAGTCATGGGAGGAACTCGATACCTCAGAAATAGCGCATGGTGCGACATCCTTGCGTTGGCTTTTATGGGTATGAATTCTATTTGTTCAGGCTTGCAACTTCGTCTTTCTTGTTAGGAGTTATGCATGTGACTTCCGAACTGGAGTAGCAAAGTAGATTATCTTTTTAACCTCCAGTTTCATTGATTTTCCCTTATCCCCGGCTACCCCTGGAAGTAGTCTTCTGAGCTCAGAGTTCATCTTTATCTAATCCTTTTGCAGCCAAAAATTGAAAAGGACCAGCTGGAGAGTTTGTCTGACGAATGCCCACGAATCATAGTAAATCCAAAGCCGTCACCACTGGGTTACAGGGGGATTGATGTTCCTAGAGGAGCAAGACTAGACGTATCATTAGATGATCCCATTGTTGAAGATATCGACCCCAAAACCTGGGCTGTATCTGGATTTGTACCTAGAAAATCAGCATCATCAGTTTCAAGCACAGAAGAGTTGCCCGTGGCGGAAAAGTTTAGACTTGCATTTCTAGAGAGAGACAATCGGCTAGCACCAAAGCGAGCAAAGAATGCCAGACAACATCAGCGACGTGCAGAAAAGGAATGGGTAATGATGAATAGTAGGGCAAAAGCACTAGCACTTGCTTCGCTGGCTAGCAAATCCCTGAACATTCGGAACTGAAAATAGATGTGTACTTCAATGAACCTGTATTTGATCTTTATCAGCCAATAGAAAGAGCTTCTGTTTGGTAGCAGAATTGACAGTGAAGAATTATAAGCAAGCCTCACGTAGAGTTGTATTTAATCTCTCACGGGTAACTGGGAAGCTTCTCTTTGCAACTGACTGTTGAGAGGAAGGCAAATATTCCCGAGCTTCCAACAAAGTTTGTACATACAGTGGTTTCTTTCAGGGAGTGGAAGAGTCTATTTGGGTCATCACACTGTTGAAAGGGAGGCCACTGTCAAGCAAGCCTTCCTCTCTCCTCTGGTCAATCCTCTGGTAAGGTGTGTGTATTGTTCTTTGTAGTCGTCTTCGGCATGTATGTACATTAGGATTTTTTCTGCTGAGGATGATTTAATGAGGTGCGCCATTTTCTTTTTTCATGTGCAGTGTGTGAATTTCCAGTCTTTTTGCTTCCCATACAAATATTATTAACGACTTTTTGAGCAAACAGTTGGGATTGTTTCAAAGTTTGCCTCGGTAGTACATGGAAGCTTTCATATTGTCTGGCCAAAGTTATAAATTATAATCCTCTTGTGCACGAGGAGCTTTCCTGACCACTTTCTTTAAAGTTGAGAGTTATCTAGCGCACGGGAGATACTGTATTACTGATCTATAGACAGGAAGTATATCCACAGTGCATGACTAAAAGGGTTCAAGAGGTCTAAGGATTGTATTCTTGCTTGGTCCCCTCTCAAAAAAGTTCTCTTAATTATGACCCCCAGTTTGGCTAGTTACTTTATTTTGGTCCCCTCTCAAAAGAGTTCTCTTAATTATGACCACCAGTTTGGCTAGTTACTCTATTTTTTGGTAATCGCTAGTTGCTTTTATCAATGTTCCCAAGGAAGAAATTGGAAAAACTGGTATTTCAAAGTAAAATTTTCTTTATATTTTGAAGGGAAACAGAGTACAAACGTTCCCCTCTTTTTTTTTTCTTTTTTTTTTTTAATTTTTTTTTAATTTCCCCCGTGTTCGGTACCCACATTGAAATCGACTATATTTGAATTTATACAAGGGCCCCGTTCGGGGGAAGCGCTCCCTACCAAGAATTTTTTCATACCAAAGGTTTGCTCTGGTTAAGAAAAGAGCAGTCACATTCACTACATCAGATCCTTTGGTGGTACAAACGTCCCACTCAATTAATCTTACGCGACCCCAACTTAGCTTGCAATAAGATGGAGGTTATCAGTGGCTGCTGAGACAGTCTTTAACCTCTTCTATGAAATCGTTCCGACTGTCATCTAAACACGAGGGAAGAAAAGATCTAATAATTACAAGATAGTTACAACCCATATCATCATCTCTTATATGCATAAACGAGTTCAGCACATCCGTCATCTTGAACGACGCTCCCAGCATAGGCAAAGCATGTAGTACAACATATATGCGCCTAGGCTGTATTTCACTGTTTGCTTAAGTTCCGAATGACGTAAGGAAGGATGCCACCATGGTCAAAATATGCCAGCTCAACCTACAGTTGCAAATCAACAATATAAAAGCTATCATAATATAAAATGTAATCGCACCGAATATTACACTAAAATAATAAATACATCACATGCTTTAATATATAGACTTCTCCCACTTAGCCATACTATATTAACATATTTTTCACTTCATTAAGTCTTTAACCATAATAAGTTGATAAGATGAGGGGTGTGCCCTGCACGAAACCGCCAGATGATAGAATTATAAACTCTTTATGCATACATTGATCCTAACGGGGCCAAGTTTGAACAAATGTCAAGACTTGCGACAATCCAGATTGTGCAGCTTAGCATATGAAAGAAAAAATGAAATGCAAAGGAACAAATGATGATTACAAGTCAAAACTGTTAGATGTTCTGTAATGGAGTCTCCATCACTAACTGTGTTAGTTGAAAGAAAGAAAAAGAGAAATAAAACCACTTAGGATGTGTTTGGTATGACGGAAAATATTTTCCAGTTTTCCCATGTTTGGTTGGCTTAAATATTTTGGAAAATATTTTCTTTATAAACTCATTTTCCTCCAATTGGAGGAAAATATTTTCCTTATCAAGAGAAGGGTAAACATTTTCCAAAACTCCTTCTCAACCTTCCCTACCCTCACCAACCCACCCACCCCCTCTCTCCAAAAAAGGTTTTTTCTTTTAAATTTCAGCTTTTTCATTACCACCCACTCTACTACCCCTCCACCCCACCCCCACCCTCACCCCCTCCCGCAAAAAAACTATTTTTTTTAACCTTATTTTTTTATTTGCAATTTCAAATTTCTGCGACCACCCACCCCCAACTCGCCCCCCACCCTCCCCTACCCCCCCCCCAACCCCCGGTAAAAATATTTTTTAATATATTTTTCAGTTTTAGTTTTTTTATTTATCGATTTAAAGGTTCAAAATTTTACAAGTTCCAAAGGGTTAGAAATTCTGCGGTTTCAAAAGTTTAGCAGTTCGAAAGTTTATGAAAAATGTGAGTTAGGAAGGTTGTTGGTTTGAAAGTTTATGGTTTCATGTTTATTATATCTAAATTATCTATGAATACTCTTGAGAAGTCATTTTCCTTAATTTGCGTACCAAACATTGAAAAATGAATAAGATTACTACTTGTTTTCCAACAAAACATTTTCCGTTATACCAAACACACCCTTAAAATGCACATCTCCAGCTCAATAAAACTGAAAACTACTTTTTTCAACATTCCCCAAAAATAAAATAATTGACCTGTTTCGTAAAATAGTTAACTCCTTGTTCACCAAGCGTCCAAATAGATTCCTCTTCAGACTATCCAATAACTTTCCAGTATAACCAAACTATGTTGTATTCAATCTTAAAACACATTTTAATTAATTTTATTTAATCGAACATTTTACTTGAGTTTTGCACAAGTCAATGCAGATAATTTATTAAAAGACAAGGAGTTAAAAAGTAGTAGAAACAATATACATACCTCTGTGTCAAATCTAAGAGTACAGGTGAAAGATTTTCCACTATCAATAGTCACGGTTAAATCTTGTCCGGGCCTTATATCACAAATCCTCTGTGGAAGGTCAATAGTGTAACGCTCATGACCAGTTAAACCTAGTGCTTCTGCATCTTCACCAGGCTTAAAGCAAAGTGGTATAATGCCCATTCCAACCAGGTTACTGCGATGAATCCTCTCAAAGCTTTTTGCAATCACTGCTTTTACTCCCTTTTTTCAAGAACATTAGTGTAACATCATAGAGAAAAAGAAAACAAAGAAAGAAATTTTAAACTGCGGAAACTGGTCTAAAATGCTTACTAGTAGCCTTGGGCCCTTGGCAGCCCAATCCCGGGAACTTCCACTCCCATATTCTGCTCCAGCAATAACAATGGTGTCGTGCCCGGCGAATTTGTATCGCTGTGAGTAGTACAATAGAGCAGGAAGAAACGTTAATTAGTCCTTACATATGAAAAAGGGGGGAGAATGTAATAAAATAAGAGGAAGAGCTTATTTACAAAAGCTCTTAGCCAAACAATAGTGGAACATTTCCTGAATAGACATTTTAACTCACCATTGCTGCATCATACACATAAAGTTTCTCCCCACTCGGTATGTGAATGGTCTTTGGACCGACTTCCCCATTCAAAAGCTTGTTGATGATGCGAATATTAGCAAAAGTACCTCTAGCCATCACTTCATCATTGCCACGACGGCTGCCATATGAATTGAAGTCCTTCCGCTGAACTCCACGCTCCATAAGATACTTTGCAGCAGGACTGTCCTTATGAATGCTACCTGCTGGAGAGATATGATCAGTGGTTATACTATCACCAAAGTTCAATAAGCAGTAGGCATCCTTCACCCCATGAGGGCCGGGAGGGTCGAGACTCATGCCCTTGAAATATGGGGGTTGATGAATATAGGTTGAATTCGGATCCCATGCATAGAGATTGGATGACGGGACAGAGAGTTGATTCCAGATAGGATTTCCCTGAGTAATAGCTTCGTAAGTGCTCTTAAACATCTCGGGGAGCACACTTGATTGAACAACCTAAAGGAAGATCATCTTTAGTCTTATTTAAGGGGCGATAGAGATAATCATTGTTTATTGAGGACAGCAAAAGAATAATACCTCCGCAATTTCTTCATTACTAGGCCATATGTCCTTAAGGTATACACCTTTTCCATCTTTTCCAATTCCAATAGGCTCCTTCTCGAAGTCAATGTCAACCTGAAAAATATAGCAGAAAGAATTTTAACTAAAAACATGCTAGCAAAGTAGGTAATCTAGTGATGATTACATGCAAGATCCAGAAACAAACCCCTCCCCCCATCCCAAAAGAAGGAGAGAATGGAAATCTCGGTAGCCAAAACAAAAGTAAAAATAAGTGAAACAAAATACAAGCAGCAGGTCATAAACTATACAGAAGAAACATGCTAAACAAGGTTCGAAAGGGCTCTCGTCCACACATTTAGTGAAACTGAAAGCTACTGTTTGAGTAGCTAATGGGAAATAAAGCACAGAAAGAAGCATCTTGGCACAGAAAGTTCACTCCTTTAGCTTGGGTATCAATCTAAAGGAGAAAATGTGGAACAGGTCCTCCACTAACTCATCTCAGCATACCGTTCCCGCAAGCGCATATGCAACAACCAGCGGTGGCGAAGCAAGATAATTGGCTCTTGTTTGGGGGTGAACACGGCCTTCAAAGTTTCGATTTCCAGAAAGCACAGCTGCAGCTACAATATCTGCGAAAAGAATCCCAAGAACATCACTAACATAGCCAATTATTTTTCTTGCTAAAAGTTGACCTGCTCAAGCAGACAGAATGCCATTGCAGCACCATGTGAAAGTACTCAGAAAATGCATAACTTAGACTTTTTCTCTCTGATGGAAGAAAAATAGCAAGGATCACGTTATAAATTGGACTATACCATTGTCAGTGATGGCAGAAGCAACTGATTCATCAAGATCTCCAGAATTACCAATACATGTTGTGCAACCATAGCCAACAAGATAGAAGCCCTGCTGGTTCAGGTACTTCTGTAGGCCGCTGCAATACAAGGTCAGAAATAGAAGTGAACAAATAATAATGTTCCAGGACAAGGGAAGGGCCAGGATAAGTAACAATTGATCACCAACAGTACCTCTTATGGAGGTATTTTGTAACAGCCCCTGACCCTGGAGCTAGACTTGTTTTTATCCATGGTTTAACCTATTCAATAATCACACAACTTATTTTTTAGAAGCATGCTCCATCTGCAAATAATTTGCGTGACAAACTACAAGGCTTGCAGCTAAGTTTAGGCACCAAACTAACCTCCAAACCTAATTCACAGGCCTTTTTTGCAACAAGACCAGCTCCAAGCATGACACTTGGATTAGATGTATTTGTGCAGCTCGTTATAGCAGCTATAACGACACTACCATGCTTAAGTTCAGCAGGAAGCCCATGGAATGTAAATTTTGCAACTTTATCTTGCTCCTGCTTGGGCACAGCAAATCCCTGCATGATTTTAAAAAAAGGGCTTATTTATTGTGTTGATCAACGCTTCATGACATATTTTTTGATAAGTAAACACTTCTATGACATTCTTGTCTCAGCTCCTAAAATGAATTGATACTTTGTCAATCAGAATTTGCATATTTTAGATGCAAAAGACACGGGAAAAGAATATCCCCAAAATTCAAAACGTTCGCGAAGGAAAAGAACAACCTTGAATCCATGTTTGTTATCAAGACATGCATGCCAATCAGCTTTCATATCTTTCAGAGCGACACGATCGTTTGGCCTATTAAAAATGACAACAGTGAGAACACTAGACGGAATCTAACAATGAGCTATGCAAAAATTTGGTACGTAAC